TATATAATTTTTCATTGATTTCAGAGAGAGGAAGGGAGAGGGAGAGAGAAAGATAGAAACATCAATGATGAGAGAAAAATCAATGGTGAGGAAGAATCATTAATCAGCTGCTTCCTGCTTGCCCCCTACTGGGGATCTAACTGGAAACCCAGGCATGTGCTCTAAGAATCAAACCATGACCTCCTGGTTCATAGGTTGATGCTCAACCATTGAGCAACACTGGCTGGGCAGAACAGCATTAAAATGGAAAATAATAGTAAAAGATAGTACTTTTATAGCTCATACTGTGTGTCAGAGATGTCATTCTAATCTTCACAACAATCCTATGAGATTACTAGTACAATTATTTTCCAAATGAGGGAACTGAAGTAAAGTAACTTGCCTGAGATTACACAGCTAGTAAGTGGTGGAGCTAGAATTGGAACCGAGGCAGTCCTGCATGGCTCATACCAGGAATGAGCCCACAACCCGGGCATGTGCCCTGACCTGGAATCGAACTGGTGACCTCTTGGTGCATGGATAGATGCTCAACCACTGAGCCATACGTGTGGCCAGGTGCCCATACATTTCTTGTGTCTCCAGTTGGATTCTAAGCTTCTGGAGGGCAAGAATTATCTGTTACATTTTTCTCAACTTTCCCTCCTTCAGCTCCTGTTCTCTCGGTGTAGGTTAAATGCCCCCACACTGTGTGCATCCATAGTACTTCACACTTCCTCCATCATCTCAGGGGCTGCATCTTGTATCCCTGGTACCTGGCACAGGGCCTGCCACCATAAGTATTGAATGAGTGAGTGAATCCATCAGTAAGTCAGTCATCTCAGCAAATACTTACAGTTGCCTATTGGCTTTTTAGAACCATAACTGGGATCTCGACTCCTTTGACTGATTTTAGCAGCAGGGCCTTTTACTATAACATTCTCTTTTTTGGGCGGGGGGGACAAATTGGTGAAAGTTGGGGAAGAGATTAACTGCACTTAACTGGCATTCTCTACATAGCCCCAAAGCTGTCTGCTATTTGATACTTGTCTTTCTGAAATGTTGGATCACAGAGTGGGGAATGAATGAGGACTTTGGAATGCTTGACAAATGACTTGGCCACATCCCTCTGCACTGGTTTGGATTAAGTCTGCAGCAACTTCAGTCCTAGTCTCAGCGCTCCAGGAGGAATGGGAGGCTTTTCTTGATAGTTACTGATCACTTGCAGAGGGAGCCCAGGATTACAGATTCTCTGTCCTTCATTGTGATAAGGCCCTTGACAGTGAGTTTTTAAAACTTAAAGACCCAGGGTCTTGCCTTCTCTCAAATGTTCATTCATTTGAACTTTAATCTGTATGATGACATCAGGAAGGTGTTAAGGCCAAAATATAGAATCTAGCAGTAAAGCTACAGAAGAAAATGGGTAAATGGTAAGGACTGGAAGGGAGTATTGAGCAGGGCTTCAGGGGTGCTGGTAACATTCTCTTTCGTGATCTGATGTTGCTCATAGTGTGTTCAGTTCACAAGCTGTACACATCGAATATGCACCTTTTTCTGTGTGTATGTTAAATGTCAATTAAAAGTGAAAAGCTTTAAACAAATCTTTGTGTGTATGCCACAGATATGCTTATTAGATTAGGGTGAGCTGTTCTTTTTACCCCTTTAGTTCTTGACCTAAACTCCAGGTTAAGAACCACTGAGCCACTCTGGCCAGGCAAAATTAACTAATGTTTATAAGTCTTTTATAATTTATAAAATGCACTCACACACATGATTGCTTAGACCAGCCGTGGGCAAACTACGGCCCGCGGGCCGGATCCTGCCCGTTTGAAATGAATAAAACTAAAAAAAAAAAAAGACCGTACCCTTTTATGTAATGATGTTTACTTTGAATTTATATTAGTTCACACAAACACTCCATCCATGCTTTTGTTCCGGCCCTCCGGTCCAGTTTAAGAACCCATTGTGGCCCTTGAGTCAAAAAGTTTGCCCACCCCTGGCTTAGACCCTTAAAACAACTCAGAGTTTATTATGTTTATCTCGATTTTACAGCTGAAGCCCAGAGAGGTGAGGCCACTTCCTGAACTGAGGAGTGACAGAGTCAGATCTCAAATCCCTGCTCTTCCCAAAGCATGATGCCTTCAGCAAAGGAGAGCCAGAAGGATGAGAATTATTTTGGGAGATGAATACCAGCTTTGGTTGAAGGAATAAGAACCGAAGAAAAGTTAAAGGAGTTGGAACCACAGGTAGGAGTGATTCAGCAGGGCAAGCATGTTAGGCCCATGGTTATAAGAGCCTGTGTGTGTGGACCTGCTCCTGTTACTTTGGGGTGCTCCTGTTACTGTGTGGCTGGGCTCCCACTTGCTTTCTCCTGGGCCACCCACTCTGCTGGTTGGCCCTTGGACAAGTCACTGCACTCTCTGAGTCTCAGTTTCCTCATTTGCAAGATGGAAATAACTACCCCTCTCTGCCAACTTAGGAGAATTGCTTTGAGGATCTGATGAGGTGGTGCATATGAAGCTGCCTTGAGAACTTTAAAGTGTGCAGCATGAGGAACCCCTGAAGCCAAGTTTACTTATCCCAAGAGAGGGAAGGCAGGACTCTAATGAGGGCTTCTTTCCTTTTCTCTTTTTTTTCTTTTCTACTTCGTATTTTTATCTATATTATTTTACAATGTCCTTGTAAAATGATACAAGTGATGCTGAAATATTTAAGGTAGAAATGGAAAATTCCATATGCTACCTGCCTGTAGCCCTCCATCCTACTGCACAGATAGATCACCAGTGTTTGTGGATTAGTACACCTCCTGCCAGGCTTTAAAAAAATATTACACACACACACACACACACCGCCCTGGCTGGATGGCTCAGTTGGCTGGAGGGTCGTCCCATACACTAAAAAGGTTGTGGGTTCGATTCCCAGTCAGGGCACATACCTAGGTTGAAGGTTTGATCCCCAGTCAGGGCACATGCAGGAGGCAACTGATTGATGTTTCTCTCTCTCAAAATAAAAAAATCAATAAAAACATCCTCAGGTGAGTATTTAAAAAAATATATGTGTATAAGTATCTACATATATATTTTTCAATACACATGCACTTGCTCATACAACTTTATTCTTTAGATTTCACAAAAATGTCCTCTACATTGTTTAGCACCTTTCCTCCCCTTCCCCTCCACCCTTAACAGTTTTATCTTGAAGAGCTCTCTACATCAGAGCTATTTAATTTTTTCTATATCTGAGCATGTATATAGTCTAGGAACAGATGTCATTTGGATCATTACTAATTTTTTTAAACGTTATCAGTGACGCATGAAAATGCTTGTCAAACAAGTTTCTACTTCTATAAATGTATTTTGAAGTAAAGTTGCTGGTGACACAAATTTTAATGTTTAATAGATATATCAAATGCCAGATTCCACTCACACCAGTGGTGTTTGGGGTAGACATTTGACAGTGTCTGGGGATATATTTACTTGCCACTAAACATCTTAAAGTAAGAAAGTCCCCTCACAACAAAAAATTGTTAGTAATGCTGGAGTTGGCAAACCCTGGCCCACACCTTGCCAGTGCTGGATATTGCCATTCTTTTTAAACTTGCCAATCTGGTCATTTGAAAAATGATACCTTATTTTACTTTGTACCTCTTCTGGAGAATAGACTTACTTTTACTTCTTACTTTATATATTATTTACATTTGTTATAATGAACATGTATTATTTTTGTTTTGTTTTTAAAAAACCATTAAAGATTTTTTTAAAATCTATGTCTTTGATTATCACTATGCAGTCTGTTCTTAAGATTTAATTATGTACATGCCTGCTGGTTTTTCCCTGATAAGGTATAGAAAATAATCCTCAATATAGACCTTAAGAAGTTATCAGTACTTCAGGTTTAAGTCTCCATCCTCTGGCCTTCAGAATTGCTCTATTGCCCTTACAAAGCACGTTCTCCCAGTGGACACCAAGACCCAGGAGCCACCTCCAAGAATCATCATCACAGCTCAGAGATACTCCTGACCACAGACCACAGCTCCAGAAAAAATGTTCTTGCACTGGCCTACAACACCCACCATGGATTCATCTCCCAAACACCAGAAAGAAATTCTCATTCTCATTTCTCTCTGTGAAACCTGTGGTCTATTTACCCTGTGAATTTCCCAGGCTAGCACAGCTGAGCCAAGCCCCTGGGGCTTCTATGGAGCCCAGAGCTGCTGGCATAGGCTCAGATGCAGCATGAATATGTTCGAACACCCTCCAATATGTCCTGTCAAATGGAAAAAAGGTGGAGCCCAGTCCTGAGCCCTGCCCAACAGGACAAGGACTCCTGGAGAAGTGCCCCCCTCCTTTCATTTAGCTCAGAGCAAGCTGGAGCCAGCCTGGAGGAAGTGTCCGTGGAGGACCTGTCAGTAATAACTGGATACTCCCAAGAAAATGTCCCATGTGGCCAAAATGGCCTGGGTTTACCTGCAGCCTTTGCAGATCACCCAGTAGCAGATTTGCAAGTGGGCATACAGCTCCTGCCCTGTCTCATTTCTCTCTGTGAAACCTGTGGTCTATTTACCCTGTGAATTTCCCAGGCTGGCACAGTTGAGCCAAGCCCCTGGGGCTTCTGTGGAGCCCAGAGCTGCTGGCATAGGCTCAGGTGCAGCATGAATATGTTCGAACACCCTCCAATATGTCCTGTCAAATGGAAAAAAGGTGGAGCCCAGTCCTGAGCCCTGCCCAACATGGCAAGGACTCCTGGAGAAGTGCCCCCCTCCTTTCATTTGGTTCAGAGCAAGCTGAAGCCAGCCTGGAGGAAGTGTCCATGGAGGACCTGTCAGTAATAACTGGATTCTCCCAAGAAAATGTCCCATGTGGCCAAAATGGCCTGGGTTTACCTGCAGCCTTTGCAGATCACCCAGTAGCAGATTTGCAAGTGGGCATACAGCTCCTGCCCTGGTCCCAGGAACAGGACTTCTGCCAGCAGTTCTGTGCATTGGATCTGTGCTATGGTTTTCCAGTAAGCAAAGGCATATGTGGAGGCTGCCTGCCTGGTCTAGTGGATCTCCACTCTCTAGAATGCACACAAATCATGACAATGGAATGGAGTGTACAATCTGTGAGGCCATGAGTGGCTGAGATAACCCCTGCACTGCTGACTTAGTGAAAGAGAAAGCAGTAAGGGGTTCACAGTGGGAAGGGAAGGGAGTGATAGAAGGAAAGAACACCAGTCTGCAAGTCAGGGCCTGAGTTCTGCTCCTGCCTGGCTGTGTACCCTGAGACAGATAAATCACTTTACTACTTTGTGCCTCAACTTCCTTGCTAACTAGTAATTGGAAACATTCCCTCTTTTTTCAAAACTTGCATGTTTCTCAAAAGTATTACCAATTATATAAAGCTGGCTACAATGGTTTAGAGATTTAAAATAGCATTTAGAAACAATCCACTTCCTATTGGTTAGTTTTTCCTACTCAAAAGTAATAGATGCTCAGAACAGGAGGAAAAAGTCAGATGATACAGCCAAACAAAAAGTAATTCATAGAGAATACCCGTAATTCCACCCACTCAGAAACCATACTGTTGATGTCTTAGTGGGATCTGTTCAGATAAGCGGTTCTTAATTGGTGGATGGGTGGACTTTGGTGGGAGAGAGCTCCTGGATTATTAACAAACCCCTTTTCATTGGCCATTTGAGATACTTTAGTAGTTTTGCCATTACAAAAAAAAATGTGCAAATATAAGCTGGATGAAAAGGAATTAGAACTTGAGAAAACAAAAAGAAAAAATGGGTAGTTTGAACACCTGACAGAAATACTTTAAAGAGCACAAAAAGATGCCTAATTATCCTACAATGCACAAAAATTACCAGTGAGAGACAAACAAGAGCTTAATGGGCATTTCAGCTGTTTAAGTAAACATATTTACTGGGCAGGTGCTATAGTATGCTAGACCATATAATATGAACTCCACAGGTAGTTCAGCCACTGACTTCACTGAGCTTTTAAACTAGTAGAGATCAACACAGAAATTGTGCATGAACAATAGTTTGTGTCTAACCAAACTGCCTTCATGACTGATTGGCACAGTAAACTGTAACCTCCCTCCCCCTAACTTCCTCTGATTGGCCCCAGAAATTCATAAAGCAAGTCTGTCTGCCTGTTCAACTTACAGATCTTTACATCTTCAGGTGAAGCACCCAGTTGTCTGTGCTGTCCTTCCCTGGCAGGAAGGGCCTGCAAGCTCCCTGTTGATTCATCACACTGTGCACGTGCCCAGACCTTCCAACAAAGTGTCCGTGAACAGATGGCCACAGCATGGGGACAGTGAGGCCCAAACCTTTGAGGACAGACTATGCTGGTAACACTTGAAAGGGTTCTACAGCTTCAGGAGGTGGGTGGGGAGGGAGAACAGATGAGCCAGCCCTGATTGGAGGACCTGGTCTGCTGTCCTCCTAGAAAGAGCCTGTGTGCCTTAGATCAACACCTCATACTAAGCTGTGTGCTAATCTTCAGGGGTCTTGTTGGACTGTGGATTCTGATTCTGCAGGTCTAGGGTAGGGACTGAGATTCTGCATTTCTTACCAGTTCCTAGTGATGTGCTGATTATTTATTTATTTATTTATTTCTCACCCGAGGATATTCTTTCCATTGATTTTCAGAGTGGAAGGGAGGGAGGGAGGAGGAGGAGGGAGAAAAACATTGATATGACAGACACATCGATTGGTTGCCTTCTGCATGCACCCCTGGGGCACGAACCTGCAACTGAGATTTGTGCCCTTGACCAGGAATTGGACCATTGACCTTTGGTCCAAGGGCAAACACTCTAACCATTGAGCAAAACTGGCCAGGGCAGTGTGCTGATACTTTAGACCACACTTGGAGTAGCAGAGCCTTAGGGATTGGTATCACAATTCCTTGGGATGCTTTAAAAATTCGGAAAGTTAGATTTATCCAAACATACTGATTAAGAATCTTCTGATCTATTTCTTCAGTAGGTCTCCACCCAGACTGCACATTAGAATCTTTTGAAGAGGTTTTTTTTTTACTGCTAATTCCCACTCATGTATCTCTCTCTATATCTATTTCTCTCACTCCCCTTGATCCCTCTCTCTCCCCCTCTTCCTCTCTGTCTCGCTCTTTCTCTCTAGTTGCTTTAGTTTGAAAAGCTCTTTCAGGTGGCTCTGACAACCATCCAGTGTGGTGTGGGAGCAGAGGCAGTGGTTCTGAGTCCAGGCTGCACATTACAGTCACCTGTCACCTGGA